TCTGGATAACACCATACAGGATTTTGTTTTGTTTAGACAGTTTTGTGTATCCCAGGTTGGTCTGAACCTCAGTCCTATGACTTAGGTGGTGTATTTTATTATTCTCTATGTTTTCATCTATTTTTGTGGCTCTCACAAAGAACACGTGTGGCAGTCAGAGGACAGCATGTAGCAATTGGTTCTTTCCCTCCACATGGTAAACCTGAGAGTCTCGGGAGAAAAGAACAAACCCACGATTGTCCAAGTAAAGCAGGCTGTATTTTGGAGGTATATCTGGGACTGGCCAGCTGGCTGTCTCACCCTAAGCTGGGATTTGAGAGAGGCAATTTGAGAGAGTCCCTTCGGGCCTCTTGAAGTCCCTTTTATAGGAGGAAGAGATGAGGTGTTCACAGGGTGAGAGAGTTGGCTCTTATACATTATTAGAAAAATACAATGAAAGAGCAGGAACACGGGTAAGGAGATATATATGTACATCATGTGAATGGGGGTCGCAAATCTAGTGAAAGTTGAAAAATGTTTTAAAATTATATCAGATCTAACAAACAGGAACTTACTCTTTTATTGTTTGGTTGGTTGGTTTGGTTTTTCAAGATGGGGTTTCTCTGTATAACAGCCCCGGCTGTCCTGGACTCACTTTGTAGACCAAGCTGGCCTCAGACTCAGAGAGCCACCTACCTCTGCCTCCTGAGTGCTGGGATTAAAGTTGTGTGCCTCCACCAGCCAGCCAGCCAGGATTTTTTTTTTTTTTTTTCGAGACAGGGTTTCTCTGTGTAGCTTTGGAGCCTATCCTGGCACTCGCTCTGGAGACCAGGCTGGCCTCCAACTCACAGAGATCCGCCTGCCTCTGCCTCCTGAGTGCTGGGATTAAAGGCGTGCACCACCAACGCCCGCTAGGAATTCTTAATTACAAATAGAAACTTTAACTTCACACATGACGAGCAGGAACTTAACTGTCACCTGCAAACTGAAACCTTAACCTGCAAGGGATATTGTTCCTGTTTTGGGCTCCTATCAACTTGCAAGGTATGTTGTTCCTGTTTAGGGGTTGAACTCAGGTTGTCAAGTTTGGTGCCATGTCTTTATTCACTGAGCCATCTCACCTGGCCTAATGTTAATACTTACTGGGTATGTTTATGTGCCTGTGTGAGTTTATATGTGTCGTATGCATGTAAGTGACCATGGAAGGCAGAAGAAGGTGTCAGACCCCCTGGAGTTAGAGTTACAGCTGGGTGTGAGACACCCAATGGGAACCAAATCCAGGTTGTCTGCAAGAACAAGTGCTCTTCTTCACTGAGCCGTCCTGAGCCCCACATGTTAGAGTTCCTAAGGATGGTCTCAGAGCAGCTGCTCTTTGGGCCATCAGACTACTTTGGAGAAGCTTTCTAGAGTAAGGCCTCTGGATAGCCTGGCAATCTGCCTTAGACGGAACAATGGCCCCAGAGAGGAACCTGTGACTGTTAAAAGGTAAAGGGACCTTCAGGTGGGCGTTACCTGCACTGTCTGGGTGGGTCTTATATAATGAGTTCTTATAGGTGGAATCTCCTTCCAAGCAGCAGCAGAAAGAGATGTGATGGTGGTAGAGGGTCAGGAAGCTATACACTACTGCTTTGGAGACAGGAAGGGGCCACAAGCCAAGGAACACAAGCAACTTCTAGGAACGAGGCAAGGAGAGGGAATGGCTTTCTCTTGGAGCCTTTGAAAAGTACAGTTCTACTGAAACCTTGATCTTAGCGATTTTTAGCCCACCCGTATGAGCCATGTCGGATGCTGCCCAACAGAACCCAATGAGTAAGTTTGTGTCTGGTGAGGCATGATTAGCATGTGCCTGTCTGTAATCCCAGCACTTGGGAGGTAGAGGCAGACCATCAGGAGCTCAAGGTCATTCTCAGCTACATAGCGAGTTTAAGACTAGCCTGGGCTATATGAGATGCCAACTCTAAGTAAATAGTGTGGAGTGTTAAGCCACTGCATTTGTAGTGGTTTGTTAGGGCAGTAACAGAAAACTGGACAGTCACATGGATTTGCATGCCTAAAGATTAAAAACAAATCCATTGTACATGGTTTCACAGCATATGTGGTGATTAATCAAAACCTTTTCATTCTAGCTCCTGCCATGAGTTATTTGATTTCAGATGCAAATGAATATTCAAATGAACAAATCCATTTGATTGGTACAGCTCAGTCTGCTCCAGCAGAGTTCAGAGGATGCTGCCAGTGTGCATGGCCACCCGAGGACCAGATCCATCCCCAGACCAACCAGCTGGCATGAACACTGCCCACTACACTATATCCATTTACTTATCTCTGAGGCTTGGGAATTCAGTATCCTAGGCTTGCCTGAACTTAGGCTGTAGCCAGGGATGATGATAACTCCGGCCCCTCCTGCCAATAATTCCCAAGTGCTAGAATTACAGGTGTGCATCACTAAGCCTAGCTGTATGCCATGCTAGGAACTGAATTCAGGGCTTCATGTAGGCTAGCATTCTACCAACTAAGCTACACTCCCAGTCCATGCGTTTGTCCTGTAGAACACTGATGTCCAGAAGGCGGCTTAGGGAAGATCCCAAAGAGACAGCTATGGAATTGGGACAGAAGAATATGTCTGAGTTTCCTAGATGAAGGTGTGTGTGTGTGTGTGTGTGTGTGTGTGTGTGTGTGCATGCGCAACACTGTGGGGATAGAGGCAAGTAGTGTGAGGACATAAGATCAAAACCTGAAGTAGGAAAGAGAGCTGCCCAAGGGACCACAGCCAGTCCTCTGAGAATTTGTGTGTGAGACTGCAGGGCGCTGGCCCTCACCTCCTGTCAGGTGGAAAGCGAGAGATATTCCAAGAGGCACAAATCGATGGCCTGTGCTCCAGCGGGCACACTGTTCCCCTCCATGGTCCTGGATCCCAGAAGTTGGAGTATGTGTTTACCTGAAAGTTGAGCTGACTGTGAAGGGACCAGCTTCCCTTTTGGCAGCCATAATGGCCGAACACGTGCTTCTATGACCTTGTCCTAGACACTAGAAAGTCAGATGCCTGTCTTGTGACAAGGAGCCAATCAGAAGTTAGCTGGTGGCACTATGCTTTACGACCCTGGGTGTGCTTTACGGACAAGCGCACAGCAATGACGCTCAAAGCATAGCAACCACCCTGGGAGGGCCTATGGGCCATAACAACCAGTTGACCAATCAACACAGGGCAAACCCTCCAAGCCTGGAGGCACACCAATCCTGAGTCTGTGCGTACCCCTAGATACTCCCCTTACGCTGCCCTATAAAGATCTGTACGCAGCGGCTTCGAACTGTCTTTGCTAGCCATCTGCCATGGTGGGTGGGTCAAAGACCCAAGCTAACATGGGGTTAGCTCGTTAAACTGCAATAAAGCCTAATGCAATTTGCATCAAGCTTTCGCCTCCATTCTGTGTTTGGGGTGGCCGAGGTCCTGAGCTAAGATTCTGGAAGCCTGGGCTTTCCCAGGGTCTTACAACTGAAAGGAAGGTAAGGGAGAAATGAGATAGAGAAATGAAGAAGAGAAAGTTCTAGAGAAATTTTACAATCCTAAAGACATGATTGGATCAGGAACTTAGGAGAATTCACCTTTGAAAAGATCACTTTTTTGAGGGCTTCTCAAAACCCTTGACAAAAGCAAACTTTTGACAAACTCTTGAGTTATCCCCATCTAATGATGCTTCCCGGCCCCTTACAACACTGAAATTGCAATACAGAATGAAATCATAAAACCAACTGAAAGATAAGCAAAGGGAAGCCCTACAAAGCTGTGGTTCTGCCAGTCTTTCAAATTCCAAAGTCATTCCAGAGGAGTTTTCTCCCTGTGGTGAGAAAGAAGGCCTGAGGCAAAGCCATTTTATGCCCAACAGGTCACAGGCCCTGACACAGACACCCCTGGACCTGTGAGAGAGCAGACACAGTGCCAGTGTGAGCTGGTGCACACTCCCTGCACCAGATGTTAAAGCCAGACTGGCACATTAGTGCCTTCAGCCATGTTAGCACTGGGGACATGTGACAGGTGGCAGACCCATGGGTAGCCTGGCAGTGGCCACACAGAGATCTTCAGCCAGGCCACTGAGGCAGGTCCAAGTATAGCTGCTGAAGGGTTGGGACGCGTCCCAGCCACTCCAGGTTGGTACTGGCCAGATGGAGTACAGAAAACTTTAAGTGGGATGTGGGAGACCAAAGTATTTCCGCTATGGAATATTTTGAGATCCAGCATTTGTTATCACTGAACATGGAGCACCCGGAAAGCTCCGGCCTACTATTGTATTGTTTATGCCAGTAAGGCTACCACTGTTTACCATGGCCTCAGGGTAATATGCCTCTTATTTGCATCTCTATGCTCCTAAGTATCTGAATAGGCCTGCACCAGGGCAGGGAGATCAGAGGTGTGTGAGTAACTTGTGAGGATGGAAGGTTAGGAGAAGGGGCAAGCGGCCAGAGCAGAGAGGGAACAAAGAGGGAAATGGTTTTCCTCGTGGTATTGGCAGGACGGTTAAGAAACACCAGAAAAGACGGCTAATAAATGACTCTAGTTCTACAACATGGAACTGAGAGCTCTCTGAAGATGACAAGATGCCTGTGTTTGATCTTTATCGCCGTTGGGTTGCTGGGAGCTTCCAGGTCCTCGCACCCCCACTCAGGCCGAACCTCATGGCTGTCATGGGTTAAAGCTGAGACAAGCCGGTCACGACAGTGGGAACAAGAAATGTGTGTTCATCTTATTTGGTAGGAATTGAGGACTGCTGCCCCTCTCCCAGAGTTGGGATAATAAGGTTAAGGGACACCTATGCAGTCTGAGGAGTGACTAGGCTGCTTCATATTGGTCCCCGCCCCACTCCTTAGCAGTGTCTGAAATGAGTGATGCTGTTCCCGTGCCCTTAGCACTTGCTCAACTCAGTGCTGAGCTGAAATCTCTGAAATCTGGGGAAATTTTCAACCCACTGAAGCAGAAAGTGCTTTGCTTTCATAGTGGACCAGAGACCATTTCCTCACGACACAGATGCATTATAAATATTGTTTATTATGAGCTTCTGTAGTGCTGATACACAAAATAAGTTTTATTTAAAGTAATCCTGGAATATATGCAATTTATTCTGATTATTGCTAAAATTATGTTCACATTCAAGCCTTTAAGTCTGAGGAACCAGTGTGCATACACATGGAAGCACACTATCTAACGTATACCACGGGCTGCACCTCCAGCTCAGTGCCTCTAGGGTAGACACAGTACTGCTCCCATGACCAACCTACTGTGGGGAGTGACAGTTACCACACCTCCACTGCTCTCCAGTGTTAAGGCCACAGAGTAGTCTCAGGGAACTCTTGCTGTCTAGGGTTTATAGGCCTGTCTGCCTTTGTCACCTGGAGACCCTAGTGGTCCCACTCGACAGGACCCTGCTCATCACTGTCCTCTGAGTCAGTAGAAGACACTTTCTTGATTCTTTCCAGGGCTGCCCTGATGCTCCTCTCCAGGTCACTGGTGTGCTTCTTGCCCCCATCTGGGTGGACTTTCTTCAGCTGTACCCCCTGCCTGATGGCAGCCAGGACTTGTTCATTGACTGAGGTGCTGGGAGGGGACAAGGTAGGTGCTGCTACTTTCCTGAGAGAGGCCCTGCCCTGCCGTAGGGAGGCCAACACTTCATTCATAGAGCCTGAAAGTGAGCAGACAGCAAGTATGATGAAGAACCAGGTTTCCAGAGCACACCCCAGCTCATACCATGACATAACAAACACTCAGGGTGCAGTGAGCCCCTGACAGTGCTGACCAGCTTCAGAGCAGCACCTAGAGCCCTGTTTCAGTCAGGACAGCTTGGTGGCTGATGTTTTATCCTGACTGCTTTCCACCACTTCTTCAAACCCACTGTGACTTACAGGCCACATCCATCCTGTCTTTTGCTGAAGTGACTTAACATACCCTAAAGAGTTAAGGGTGCCTGCAGTGGAACAGTCTGATCGCTTCCTATAGGTTGCATCTCCTCCATTTCTTTTCCCATTAAAAACACCTTGAACACGCCCCCTGCACTCCTCTGCTTCAGTCTTGGAGTGATTAGTCAGTCATGACTCACCCGTACAACAGGCACTCAACAGTTCCCACACATGAAGACTTAAAGTGATATACTTAATCAGGCGCTCTGTGAGCCCAAAGGGAGGCACTGGCCCATTTCCTGTACAGCGTGTTTAATTCCACCCACCTTACCTGAGGTGGCTATGGGCTCTATTTTAGAGAGTGTGAAATACTGTCAAAACACAGATTAGCTCAGAGTTCCAAGACACTAGTGAGAAGCTATTTTTTAAAATTCTGGCATCCTGAGACCCTGAGAGGTAAAACCTTTCTTTGCTTGCAACACACAGGGCATGAGTTCAGCCACTAACTTAGGCATCTGCCAAGGAAGCCTTCAGGATTAACAGTCATTTTAACAGTCATTTCTAGTTGGGGACCAAAGAGCTAGGTTATGGCTAACTAGTCTGTTCTATTCTGCACTCAAACTCTCACTTGATTACAACCCCGTTTGAGAACTGATTAGGCAAGTTCCACAATCAAGGGTTCACACCGTCTTCTCCAGTGCTATCTAGTGTTTGCAAGTTCAACAGAGTACACACACACACACACACACACACACACACACACACTGTGTATTCAACCTAAACTGAGAATACTCCCGCACCCAAACTCTAATCTAGGCAGACAGGAAATCACTCTTCATTGCATGGTGTTGGAAACCCTATCAGTGGGCTGCCTGCCACCTGAACCTGCAGGTGTCTTCCCTCACAGCCTGTTCTGGGCACAGTAAAGCCCCAAGCTCACAATAAGTAGAGTGCTCAATTAACCCAAACCAGCATGTATGCTCCATGGGCCTCGCTCAACCCTGTTCCTGTAACTATGTTCTGGTGGAGTGAAATACTCAGCCATAGGACAGCATTTACCAGGGTTTATTTTATCTAAGACAACCCTCCCCAAAGCAGTAGGCTGAGTCTTGGCAGGTTTAGGCCAGTTTTTCCAAAAGCCAATGTCTAAAGCCATAATTAGAATTATGCATGAGAACTGTGGGCCTCACTAAACAAATCCTTGAGTGTATTCAGTGTGAAGACAAAAGGCGGCCCAGTTTTCCCAGTATTCTCAATCAAATTCAACATTGTGTGATGACTCAGAGATGTACTGCCATTTAAAGCTGTATTGAGAAACACTGGCAGAACTCAAATCCAAGCTGAAGTGGGGACAGTCTGAAGTAGACTGACTCTTTAACAGATGTGTATTCCGGCTGAGTTCGCATGTCAAATTCAATCTCACTGATACTAACCATAGTAAGAGTAGTAACAAGGCAACAAATGTTGGGATATTTTGAGACTAGAGAACTTTGAAGAAGATTCTAAACTGAAACTAATGAGACTTCAACAACTTAAGAACCCACAGGGAGCCAGAGCAGAACTGCAGTAGATTACCTGTACAGTGCAAGTCCTCCAGGCAATCGCATGGTCTTTCCTCAGACACCTTGCACACTAGAGAGCATGGCTGGTCCTCTGTTTCTAAAGTCCTGAGTCCTACATTCTGATGAGTGGTAGCTTGAAAAGAGGACGGAGTAGGGAGAGGAAGTGGTGGTGGAGGCGGAGGCAGTGGCGGAGGAGGTGGTGGCTGTGGTGGCAGTGGTGGCAGTGACAGACCCTCACTGGAGAGTTGGTTGCCATCTGGAACAAACACCTGGACCGGGATACTGTTATCGGTATCTTGATACTCAGGAGTTTTCCTAATAGCTTCAGGTAAGGGAGTAACACTTCTGGTTTTGCTTGAGGCACGATGAGCTACTTTGTGATGAGCAGTTGAGGACCTCTTCTGAGAGCGTCCACCTGACAGGTTTGGCACCATGGTTTCTGAGCAGGTTGTTTTCAGTGCAGACCAAGGAGCTTGCCCCTTCTGAGGATGACAAACCAGTGAGAGATTGGCCACAATGTAGGCCATCAAAATGCTGCAACTCCACAAGCAGGTCTATAAACAAGCACTACCCTGCGCACTGGGCGTCCTAACCCAAGAACTCTGGCCACCAACACAGACCCATGCCACTGAGCCTGTTTTCACAAGTTCAAGGAGCACTGCTGGTGTGACTTCAGGGACTGCCCTGGACCAGAGTGAAGCCTTATCTTTTTCAAACAAACAACCAAAAAAAAAAAAAAAAGGACAAACAGAAAAGAAAAAAAAAACAAAACAAAAACCCAGCCCACATTTCTATCATTTGACCAAGTGACCATATACTACTTTCTCTGTAATAAAATAGGTGAAAAATGCACATAGAAGAAAACATTCATCATCGTTTAGAGTGAGAGGAAAAGGGACAGCTTCAGCTCAGCAGAACACATGGGCTGTAGTTATATGTCAAGGCTCCCTCCACAGTGACATTCAGAGATCTGTTACAAAGAAAAAGGAAGCTAGGGAGACCACTTAGGTAAAGTACTTGTGCAAGCAAGAGAACCTGCTGTCCAATCCCCAGAACCCACCCAAAAAGCTGGTGTGTTGGGGGTTGACTGTGATCCCAGAGCTGAGAGGAAGCTGTGCAGCTCCTGGGAGCATGCTGGCCAGCCAGCACAGCCTACTTAGTGAGCTCCAGGTCATTGAGACGCTTAGTCTTAAAAAAAAAAAAAAAAAAAAAAAAAAAAAAAAAAAAAAAACAAAGTGGACAGCTCCTGAAGAATGACAGCTGAGGTTGTCCTCTGACCTCCACAGGCATGTGTGTGCTTACACCTATACACTAAAAATAAAAGCCCATGCCAGGCCCAGACTCTGGCCCCCAGTCTGCTGCTTGTGGATATAATGTAAGTGCTCTGCTACTGGTCAGTGCTATGCCCGCCAGCCTGCTGCCATGCTCCCTGCTATGATGATAATGGACTAGCCCCATGAAACTGCAAGTCAAGCCCCCAATTAAATGCTTTCTTTTATAAGTAGCCTTAGTAGTGGTGTCTCTTCACAACAAAAGAATAGTAACTACTAGGGTACATCTTAAGATCCTGCCTCAATCAAAAGTTAGCAGTGGTTCATACTGTGGGTTTCCTGATTTTTTTTCCTTATTGATAATAGCATTTTTAAAATGCTATGCTCCTGGGCTGCAGAGGTGGCCAGAGGTTAAAGAGCACTGGTTGCTCTTCCAGAGGTCCTGAGTTCAACTCCCAGCAACCACATTACAACCATCTGTAATGAGCTCTTCTGCCCTCTTCTGGCCTGCAGACATACATGCAGACAGGATACTGTATATAAATAAACAAATCTTTAAAAAATTGTTACCTGTTCATAATACATTACACTCTTTTCTAGGGTGGGTGGGGCTCATTTATCTCCCCTGGTAAAGAAGGTGAGTCTTTCCAGAACTTACCTCCCTATATGCTCTTAGTCGCTCAAGTGTTTTTTGACGTTCGTGATTTAACCATTCTTTTTTCTTTTGTTCCTCTTCTTTCATTTTGTTTCTTTTCTATACGTAAACAAACACATCCTTGTAAAGGCTCAGAATTCATCATGTATGTATTTACAAAGAAAGGAGACCCACCCTTGTCTGTCCCAGCTGTGTAGTTTCCACAGGCTAGCCCACCACCGGGTACTCACCATCTGAATATTGTGGTGCTGGTGAAAATATTTCACACTCTGTTGAGCCTGCTGCAGTCTGAGCTGATGGTTTTCTCGGCAGTGATCCTGTGGGATCATACAAAACACACACACCATTTTTAGTAAGACGTTCGTGGGCTGGAGTAGAATTGGAGGCATTACATTTTTGACTAGCATGTAAGGTGTTCAGTTTCCAATGAGGGTCAATACTAGGTCCTCCTCTACAGTTATGTGTGTCATCTGTTCCCAGCAGAGTGCTTTCAGAGATGAGTGTCTCCACAAACTGCTTTATTAAACATACAAATGTTTACTTATTTATTTTGGTGGGAGCAGGGCCGCACACATACCATAGCGCACAGACAGAAGTCAGAGGACAACCTGCTAGGTCAGTTTTCTCCTGGGAGTCCTGGTTGTCATGCTCAGTAATGGATACCTTCATAGAACAGCCATCTCACAAATCCGCTCTGATACAATTGTTTAAATCCATCTCCCCGTATTATAAATACTAATTAAATTTCCAAGCCCACCTAGAAGTAGTTGGAACAGTATGTTCAAACTGTACATTCTCCATAACCCTTCATACACAGGAGAAAATGCAGTAATACTAACATTTGCTGAGTATGTTGTCAACCTGAGTCACAGTGCCATTTTATTCTTAAGTTCACTGTGAAATTTGTATTATTGGTGTTACTATCTTCCTAACAGATGAAAAACTTAGCTTAAGAGAAATCATAGGACTGGAAGGTGGCATGGTAGTTAAGAGTGCTCAGCTTGCCGGGCCTTGGTGGCACATGCCTTTAATCCCAGCACTCGGGAGGCAGAGGCAGGCAGATCTGTGAGTTCCAGGCCAGCCTGGTCTCCAGAGCAAGTGCCAGGCTAGGCTCCAAAGCTACACAGAGAAACCTTGTCTCGAAAAAACAAAAATAAATAAATAAATAAATAAATAAATAAATAAATAAACAAAGCACAATAAATGAGCAAATGAAATATAGGAACTTTCTATTGGAAAAAAATTCTCAGTGTTTTTATGTAATTATATTGTTTTAGAACTAAGAAAACATGAGTTTCATTTTGCTTTGTTTTTGCTTTTTTTTTGCCTTATTGGTCTTGTGCTTATTTGATTTTCATTTTTTTTTTTTTTTTTTTTTTTTTTTTTTTTTTTTTTTTTTAAGAAAGAGAAAACATAAAGTTGGGTGGGTAGGGGGTTGGGAGGATCTAGGAGGAACTGAGGGAGGGGAAAACATGATCAAAATACATTGTATGAAATTTTTTTTAATAAAGAAAACAAGCTGAGCAGTGCGCGCCTTTAATCCCAGCACTTGGGAGGCAGAGGCAGGCGGATCTCTGAGTTAGAGGCCAGCCTGATCTACAGAGCAAGTTCCAGGATGGTCTGGGCTACACAAAAACACCCTCATCAAAAAAACAAAAACAAAACAAACAAAACGCAAGATCTGAAATAAGAATGAACTTTGTTTCTGTGACTGGCTTCATTATAATCCATAATTTAGAGTAAAATTTATGCTGTACAAGTGATTGTTAGTTTCTCCCTAGGGTAGTTTTTAAGTTCTAATTTTATTTTTTGTGGCACAGGGAATTGAACCATATACATGCTAGTTAAGTTTTTACTGTTGAACTATACCTGCAGCCGTGCTAATATTTTTTAATTGGAGACGGGGTCTCCATAAGTCATGCAGGTTGACCATGAACTTGCCTCAGCTTCTCAAGCAGCTGGGATTCAGGCCTTAACCAGCAGCACCACACCCACCCCTTCTGTCTTATTTTTATCTGTTAAGCATGTGTGGGCACACAGAGGTCAGTGGGTACCTTCGACAGGCGGCGCTTTTCTCCCACCATGGGACTGAAGTGAGGTTATCGGGCTCTTTGTGAAGAACATCTCATGGTCCCACTCTTACTCTGATTATAAAAGCACTATGCACAAGTAGGAACTCAATAGTTACTGAACGAACTAATTAAAAATCTAAATATTATGATAGACACTTAAATCTGAAAAGAAACAATTTTTTAGCATTTTAAAATATATTTGGCTCTAGCCACAGGGACAGACACACATAGAGCATTAATCACTATGAAGGTAAACCTCCTCAGCACTTTAACCCCGCTCTCAAGTGAAACTCTGGATGGAAGGACCGTACCTTTCTGTTCCTGAGGTGGGCCCTTCTGGCACAGATGCGGCCCCGCTGAGCCTCCAGCTGCCGGTACTGCTGCCTGAGTGCTCTCAGCTCTTCATCCTGATCAAGGTGCAGCTCCAGGTCATCAGCCACGTTCTCCAGCTCCTCCGGGCTTTCACACACATCGTAATAGACAACTTCCTCCTGTTTCTCTAAAAAGATTAGTGGCTTTCTTAGGCATGTTTTACTATAAGAAATAATTTTTTAAAATGTCTTTAAATGTAAAAAAAAAGACTAGCTGTAATTACATCACGTAGAGGAAAACAGCATTAAAATTACACACACACTTCTTACATAGCTACACAGTGTTCTACCTGACCATGTTGCATGTGCTAGAAATAGCATTTTAATGGCCACATAGTATTCACTAGTTCAAGCATTCTCAGAATGTCCCAGTGTTCTGTTATTTCTAGTTTCACGATGATAAACATATCTTCATATCAGAGAGAGAGAGAGAGAGAGAGAGAGACAGAGAAACAGAGAGACAGAGAGAGTTTACTTCTTCCTTAGCAAATGAAATGAATGTTCAGGGTTCTTTAAATCTATGCCAAAATGCCCCAGCACAGCACAAGCTGTCTCACCAGTCTTCAGTTTTGATTATATATTGATTTTTAAAAGCCATGCTTATAACAATCCTAAACCATGCAGAAGCACACAGAATAAAATGTTTTCTATTTCCTCCCCAAACAGGAGTCCTATCCCAAAGGAAAACATCCTTCCAGGTTAACTATTTAAAAATAAAAGGTCCCCCTAAATGTATAAAAATGTTCACAACTGAAAAGAGCGGCAAAGGTTTTTGGATACCAGTATTAAAGCAAACGCAGAGGCCCTGCGTAAGGCTCACTGAACTCGAAGGGACTTGGAGAAAGAGACTGAAGATGTGGAGAGACCTACCATGATCTTGGGTGGGAGGAATCAAAATGGCAAGACGACAATTCTCCCAAGTACTCTCTAATCTTAAGCACAATCCCAATCAAAATTCCAGTGAGTTTTTGTTTGTTTAAAAGTTGCCAAAGTGATTTTAAAGTTCATCTGGAAGAATAAAGGAGAGAGTCAGGATTGGAGCAGCAGGGGAACATGGGGTGCTAACAGGCTTTGCAGGTACAAGGCAGTGGGAGCCCACAGCAGGAGGCCTTGGGAATGAGTGCAGGAGAGCTCAGACCAACCACTGAAGTGGCTCAGAGTCTCCAAAGCAGCAGCAGAGACCTGAAAATCAGTGCTCAGGACAAATTTGAGAAGAAAAGTTTGATATTTATCATAGAATGGCCAACAATGAATAAAGTCCTTCGTGTGGAAAGGATTCCAAAAAGAGAAGATACATATGGCATGATTTTTCTGAGATGCAGAATTACAGAAACACAGCAGGGTGTGGTGGCACACTTGTAATCCCAGCCCTTGGGAAGTGAAGGCAGAAGGACCAGGAATTGACCACACAGCAATTCTGAGGCCAGGCTGGGCCAATTACACGAGACCTTGTTTCAAAAAAAAAAAAAAAAAAAAAAAAGAAA